ATGTAGAAAGCCTAAGATTCTACAAAAACCTTAGAATGATAACAAATTCAGTAAAGTTGCAAGATACAAATTAATATACAAAAATCAGTAGTATTTCTATACATGAGCAATGAAGTAGCTAAAAAAAAAATCAAGAAGGCAGTTGCTTTATAACAACTACAAAAATCTCCCACTTAGGAATAAATTTAACCAAGAAAGTGAATGAAAACTACAAAACACTGATGAAAGAAATTGTAGAGTATATAAACAAATGGAAAGACATCCCATGTTCATGGATCAGAAGAATTAAATTGTTAAAATGACAATACTACCCAAAGCAATCTGTAAATTCAATAAAATCCTTACCAAATACCAATGGCATTCTTCACAGAAATAGAAAATAAAATCCTAAAATGGTATGGAGCCACAAAAGACCCCAATATCTAAAGTGATCCTGAGTAAAAGATCACACTGCCAGATCTCAAAATATACAATAAAGTTATTAGTACCAAAACAGCATTGTACTGATATAAAAAACAAGACACACAGACCAACAGAACAGAATGGAGAATCCAGAAATTAATCCAAATATCTACAGGTGATTTTTGACAAAGGTGCCAAAAACACTCACTGGGGGAAGGACAGTTTCTCCAATAAATGGAGCTGTAAACACTGAATATCTACATGCAGAAGAATCAAACTAGACCTCCAGCTCTCAAGCTATACAATAATGAACTCAAAATGGATCAAAGACCTAAATGTGGCCGGGCTCGGTGGCTCACGCCTGGAATCCTAGCACTCTGGGAGCCGAGGTGGAGATCACTCAAGGTCAGGAGTTCGAGACCAGCTTGAGCAAGAGCGAGACCCTGTCTCTACTAAAAAAATAGAAAGAAATTTGCCAGACAACTAAAATTTGTACAGAAAAAAATTAGGTAGGTATGGTGGCGCATGCCTGTACTCCGAGCTATTTTTGGAGCTAAGGCAGGTGGATTGCTTGAGCCTAGGAGTTTGAGGTTGTTGTGAGCGTAGGTTGATGCCACAGCACTCTAGCCTAGGAACAGAGCAAGACTGTGTCTCAAAAAAAACAAAACAAAACAAACAAAAAACTAAATGTAAGACTTTCAACAATAACTACTAGAAGAAAATATAGGGGAAATGCTTCAGGACATTGGTTTGGGTATGAATAAAAGCTCATCTGGGTGCAGTTCACACCTGTAATACCAGTTATTTGAAAGGCGAGGCGGAGGATTGCTTGAGGCCAGGAATTCAAGACCAGCCTGGGAACATAATGAGATCCCATCTGTAATTAAAAATTTTAATTAGCTGGGAATCGTTGTGCAGATGTGTAGTCCCAGCTGGTCTGGGGTAAAAGTGGGAGGATCACCTGAGCTCAGGAGTTCGAGGTTATAGGGAGCTATGACACACCACTGCAATCTAGCTTGGGTGACAGAGGGAGACCCTATTTCCATGAAAAAAAATAAGGAAAAGGAAAAACAACCTCCAGAATTACAGAAAATATTTCCAAACTACTCATCTGACAGGGATTAATATCCAGAATATACAAGAAACTGAAATATCTCAACAGCAAGAAAACAATCCAATTGAAAAATGGAGAAATGATCTGAACAGACATTTTTCAAGACATAAAAATTGTCAACAAATATATGAAAAAATGTTCAACATCACTAATCATCAGGGAAATGCACATCAAAATCACAGTGAGGTATCATATCATCCCAGTTAGGATGGCTATTATCAAAAAGACACAAAATAACAAATGCTGGTGAGAACGTGGAGAAAAGGGAAATCCTATACACTGGTGGGAATGCAAACTAATACAACCATTCTGGAGAACAGTATGGAGATCCCTCAAGAACTACAGCCGGGTGCGGTTGCTCACGCTTGTAATCCTAGCATTCTGGGAGGCCGAGGCAGGCGGATTGCTCAAGGTCAGGAGTTCGAAACCAGCCTGAGCAAGAGCGAGACCCCATCTCTACTATAAATAGAAATAAATTAATTGGCCAACTAACATATATATAGAAAAAATTAGCCGGGCTTGGGGGCACATGCCTGTAGTCCCAGCTACTCGGGAGGTTGAGGCAGCAGGATTGTCTGAGCCCAGGAGTTTGAGGTTGCTGTGAGCGAGGCTGATGCCACGGCACTCACTCTAGCCTGGGCAACAGAGTGAGACTCCGTCTCAAAAAAAAACTAACAGTTGAACCCACTGATTAATCTTAATAGTACAAAAAGAGTGACAGGGCTTACATGACTGCTGATCTGATAAAATTGGAAGTAAACAACATTACCTTTGGCCAAAGAAATGCTCTTAAGAGAAAACAAAATATATGCTCGTCTGCTTGCTGCTAAAAAAATAAATAAAGAAAAAAAAAAAAAAAAAGAGAAAACAAAATAAAACAAAACACCACCTTCAAAATGTTCCGACAAAAAAACTGAATGTAAGCCTAAGTCTCTATATCTAACCATCAATCTATAGGAGATTCAAAGGACAGTGGAATTTGTTCAATGACAACATGGGAATGCAGCCAGCTCCTAATCAGAACATGCAAAACAACAGGACAATCACCTGGTTTCTTCCACCAATCAACTATAAGAGGAATAAAAAAGGAGAGTAAAAAAATAAATTCAAAGAGATTTAAGTGACATATCAACCAAATACAATGCATGACTTTTCATTTGGATACTGATTCAAATAATCCAAATGTAAAAATAATATTATGAGACAACTGGGGAAATTTGAATACTGACTGGATGGTTATTATATTAAAGGAATTATTTTTAACTTTTTTTTTTATTAGAGACAGGGTGTCACTCTGTTACCCAGACTGGAGTGCAGAGACCTGATGACAGCTCACTGCAGCCTCAAACCCCTGGGCTCAGGTGGTCATTCCCACCTCAGCCTCTCCACTACCTAGGACGACAGGCACATGCCACCACACCTCTGCCTTTTTTTAAATTTTAAGGGGTGATAATGATACTGTAGATATGTTTTATAAGGCAGTCATTACATTTTAGAGATACATATTGAAGTATTTATAGATTAAATGATACAACGTCTGGTATTTGCTACAAAATAATATGGTGCTGGGAGGTGGGGTTTGGGGATGTAGATGAAAAAAAAGGCCACAAACTGATAATTGTCGAAGCTGGGTGGGATGCATGGGGGTTCATAATTACATAATTACTTTACTCGTACACATGTTAGAATTTTTCATAATTAAAAGAATATGTTGGCAAAATATGTTGTCTGGGTGTGGTGGCTCATTGCCTGTAAACCTAGCACTCTGGGAGTACTGCTTGAGCTCAGGAGTTCGAGACCAGCCTGATCAAGAGGGAGACCCCATCTCTACTAAAAATAGAAACATTAGCCAGGCATGGTGGCAAAAGCCTGTAGTCCCCAGCTTCTGAGGAGGCTAAGGCAGGAGGATCATTTGCAACCTGGAGTTGGAGGCTGCAGTGCCCTATGTTTGCACCTGTGAGTAGCTGCTGCACCCCAGCCTGGGCAACACAGCAAGATCTCCTCTTTAAAAAAAAAAACTTAAAAAAAAAGCTAGAAAAAATATCATTCTATTGCTTTTAATGGATTGCCTACATGGGTCTGTAATAATAATATCTGAGGAATCATGGGTTTTATGTGATAGTTATTTTCCTAAAACTCATTAAGGCCAGGCGGGTGGCTCCCGCCTGTAATCCTAGCACTCTGGGAGGTCGAGGTGGGAGGATCGCTCGAGCCCAGGAGTTTGAGGTTGCTGTGAGCTAGGCTGACGCCACAGCACTGTAGCCCGGGCAACAGAGCAAGATTTGGTCTCCCCTCAGTATTAATTACTTAATTAAAACTCATTAAAATAACTCATGACTATTAAAGTATTAAAATTAATATACCATCAAAAGCCATTCCCTGGGCCATCAGCAAGAGTGTCACTGGGTTTCTTCTGTAAACCCAAGCCCTTTGGGATCTCAGAATGTACTAGAAGTAGGTCTCTGGCACCAGGGTTGTTTGATGCATAGTGTGTTTTCCTCCCTGGATGGGAGCCAGGCAACCCTACCTGTAGTCTCGAAGGAGCTGGAGCCCTGTTTTCCCAGAATCCTGGTCTGATTTGAGTGCTTCCAGGCGAAGGGTATGGCCTTCTTCTGCGAAGCTTTACAAGGCAGCTCCACGGTGTCTCCTTTTCTGCCCAGCACCACTTCCTTTCCCTGAGTGGCTACCGGGAGCAGCGCTGGGTGGACAAGAAGGGAGTCAGGCCTCAACGCTGCCACTGTCCACCCCCACCTTTGCATTTCCCTCCCATGCCATCTGCACTGCCACCCCAGGTCTGAGAACTTACCCAGCTGCAGCACCAGGAGCAGGTGCCTAAAAGAGATTCCCCGGTTCATTGTGGCCTTGTTGAAGTAGGCAGGGGCCTGGGCCATCAGGGACCCCAGCCTGCAGAAGTGACAGGGCCTGAGGGAGATACTGATCGTGAGTCAGCAGGCATTACTGGGCCCAGGGCATGCGGGGACAATGTCCCCTCAGGACACTTACAGCCAGTCCAGTGAACTGGACTTGCATACCACTAACCAGACACTCTGCGGGACATGCCACGAAGTGCCATCCCCAGGCAAGGGGTGGGCTCTTTGCCAGGTGAGATCACAAGAGGATTCACGGAAAAGGTGGCAGCAAATTGGTGGGGACTGAAACCATGGAGCCAGGCTAGGACGTGAAGCCGCTTGAATGCCGCGCTAAGATGCTGGGACTTGATCCGGGGTACTAGGAGCCAGTAGAGGAGTTTTTGCAGGGACGATGCCTAGATCTGCAAAGTGGATCCCTTCCATGCTGTATGGAGGGCGAACTGGAGGAGGTGAAGCACCAGAGGCAGGACTGCAACAATCTCAGTGAGAAAAGATGAGGCCCGAGCTGAGGTAGTGGCTGCAGAGATGTGGGCAAAGAGTCGAAGGACAGTGGACAGTCCTGAAGTGAATCTCCCAGGACCTGGGCCTGGTGCAAGCCTCAGGGAGAGAGGGATCAGGGAGAGAAAGAGCAGAAGGTCATTTCCCTGCCCGATATCCAACCAACCGTCTGAGGCCTCTGAGCAGACCAAGCAGAAAATGCTGTTCCGGAGTTTGCAGCAAGGCGTGGTTTCTGCGGGCTTGGAAGACAGTCAAGGCTGGGGATGGGGAGGGGAGTGCAGACAGGCTCTGAATGGAGCCAGAGGAACAGGCAGCCATGCTGGAGGAGTGACTCTCAGTGTGGTCCTGTCAGGCAGCAGCATTAGCTAGGAGCTTGTGAGGAATGCACATTCTCAGCCCTGCTCTAGACCTGCTGAATCAGGGTTCGTCTGGTCGTCTGTGTTTTCACAAGCCTCCAGGTGAGTGATCATACTCAGTTTAAAAAACCCGAGTTAGTAGGCCGGGCGCTGTGGCTCACGCTGTAATCCTAGCCTCTTGGGAGGCCGAGGCGGGCGGATGCTTCAAGGTCAGGAGTTCAAAACCAGCTGAGCCAAGAGCGAGACCCCGTCTCTACTATAAATAGAAAGAAATTAATTGCCAACTGATTATAATATAAAAAAATAAGCTGGGCATGGCTGGGCGCATGCCTGTGAGTCCCAGCTACTCGGTGAGGCTGAGGCAGAAGGATCACTCAATGCCCAGGAGTTCTGAGGTTGCTGTGAGCTAGCTGACGCCACGGCACTCACTTAGCCTAGGACAAACAAATGTGAGACTGCTGTCTCAAAAAAAAAAAAAAAAACCGAGTTAGTAACCCTAGCACTCTTGAGCTCAGGAGTTTAAGACCAGAGTGAGCAAGAGCGAGACCCTGTCTCTACTAAATATAGAAAAATTTAAAAAAATTGCACAGAAAAAAAGAAAAAGAAAAATTAGCTGGGCGTGGTGGTACATACCTGTAGTCCCAGCTACTCGGGAGGCTGAGGCAGAAGGATCGCTTGAGCCCAGGAGTTTGAGGTTGCTGTGAGCTAGGCTGGCGCCACAGCACTCTAGCCCAGGTGACAGAGGACTCCGGGTCTCAAAACAAAGCAAACCACGAGCTTGTAGACGGAAAGGAAAGCATTGCCATCCTCTGGTGTGCAAAACTGGTGGGGATGTGCAGGGCAGGTGGGGAGTAGAGAGGGCTCCAGGAGGGAGGTTGGGGAGCTGGGGTGGGAAAGGCCTTTGGGGCCTGTTAATCCTGACAGGCAGAATGGAGTGCTGTCATGGAGGTGACTAGGAGCCACTGCTGACCTTTGAGCAGAGATATGACATGTCTATGTAGAGTTTTGGAAGCTTGATGTGGTAACTGGGGGCCAGTGACATGGGACTAGGGTAGCATCTGAAGGGAGGCCACCCAGAAAGCACCTCAAAGGCAGGCAGGAGGCCAGGGCAGTGGCTCACATCTGTAATACTAGCACTTTGGGAGCCAAAGTAGGATGATCACTTGAGGCCAGGAGTTCAAGACCAACCTGAGCAACATAGTGAGACCTCATCTCTGCAATAAAATAGAAAATTTAGCTGAGCGTGGTGACTCATGCCTATATAGGCCCAGCTACTCATGAGGCTGAGTCTGGTGAATCACTTGAGCCCCAGGAGCTCAAGGCTGCAGTGAACTAGAGTGATGCCACTGCACTCTAGCACAGGTGACAGAACAAGACCCTGTCTCAAAAAAAAAAAAAAAAAAAAGAAGGCAGGTGCATGGCTCAATTGTCTTTGAAGTCCAGGCCCAGGCCATTAGAGGGCCTCAGAGAGATGACTGGGGAAGGCTCAGCAAGCACCTGGTCCTAGGCTGGTGAAGCGAGATCTGCCACCAGACTTCTGATTCTCTCTCCCAAGCCAGGTCTTTCTTTCCCCTAGTGGCACCTTTGCCGTCTGGGCAGTGGCCTGCCCACTCTGAACTCCCACTGCACCCTCTTCCTGGGCATGCCCTGCCTTCTCCATGATGTGCGATGACTTGAGTTCCCATCTCTCTCCCACCAGCTCAAGCCCCTTAAGGACGGAGATGATGGTCCAGGCAGCTGTAGGCCTGACCCCAGCTGGAGCACAGAGAAATGACTCGTGTTCGCTTAACTAAAGCCAAGTTGACTTGAATCACTGATTTCCTCTTTCTGTGCTCAACATACTAATTCCGTTTCTAAAATGGCTCATTTGAGTGTGTGTGCACACACGACCCTGGCCTGGAAGAAGCCAAGTCACCCTAATCCATGCTGCTCATGTTCGCAGGGCGGGTCAGCCACCCTGCTCCCTGCCGCCCACCAAGGGCTGACCGCTACAGACTGCACCGTCCAGGCTCCCTTGGCCTCTAGCACCAGTTGGGGCTGATCAGTGGGAAGAGCCCCCCGGAGTTGAGACGGGAGGGTCGGGGAGAGAGGCTGGGTTATTTCCCTGCTGTCTCCCTCCGCTGGGCATATTTTCTGTCCATAGCTGTGTGTCTTAGGTTCCAAAAACACCATTTTTGCCTTTTCAGGACTCTTCCTGCTGCTAATAGTATCTGTACCTCAAAATGTTGGCTGGATCCCTTTCTGTAAATAACCCCCCTTCTACAGTCTCTTGAACCATCTCAAGTGGATTCTGTTTCCTGTCGGTCACTAATACACAACCAGCGGCAGGATTGTAGCACTCACAGACATGCTGGGGGCTTGGTCCTCCTGCTGAGGTTTGGGAGAAGAGAAAAAAAAAGCCCCTCCAATTATTCCATCTGCTTGGAAGAGGGATTACCCACAGCCTAACATGTGGTAGGTGCTTGAGACAGATAGACAGACAAATAGATTTTTTTTTTTTTTTGAGACAGGGTCTGTCACCGAGGCTGAGTGTAGTGGCATCATCATAGCTCACTATAGCCTCAGCTCCTGGGCTCAAGGCATCCTCCTGCCTCAGCCCACCGAGTAGCTGGGACTACAGGAGTGAGCACCTAGCAGTCTTTCTATTTTTTGTAGAGACAGGGTCTTACTATGTTGCCCAGGCTGGACTCAAACTCCTATCCTCAAGTGATCTTCTTGCCTTGGCCTCCCAAAGTGCTGGGATTATATGTGTGAGCCACTGTGCCTGGCTGATAGATTTTGTTTAAACAGGCAAGTAGGAACATAAGAGGTCAGGAAGGGGGTTTCCCGGAAAGGAAGGAGGGAGACCAGTCCTAGTCACAGAGGGCTGTTTACAAGTTAGCCTGGGCCACGGGAAGCTCTCAGGAGAAGGCTGGTGAGAAGAGTGGGGCGGGGCAGCCTTCCACTTCCACTCAAGGTGACCCCACTGCCGGCCGGCCCAGACTGACTGAACTGGACGAGCAGTGAAGGCAGGACAGTCTCCATACAGGATGACCCTTCTCTGGGATATCCTGATTCAGCTCACCGTGGTGAGAAGCCTGCAGAGGCTAGGGACATCTTGACACTTCCCCACACGGTGGCCGTGCTGACTCCCCGCACTCAGGTCCTGTAGTCAGTGCAGAGAGCCACTTTCCTGCCTGCCGCTCCCTGCACTTGGCCCATCTCGCCTCAGGGCGTAGCTTAGGGGAGGAGGCTGTGGGTTTCCAGCTGCTGCTTTCTTTGGTGCTTTGGGCTTCCGCTGCCACCCCGGAGGGCTGGCCTTTGGTTCCCACATCCTCAGCGTCCCCAGAGGTGCCCTGCCCCAGTACAGTACCATCCTGTATACCATCACCCCAAGGGACTGAGAGTCAGGAGGGCTGGCTGGTCCCTTGAGGAGATCCTGGCCCCTTTTTTCTCTCCCTCCCTCTGCCCCCACCCTCTGCTTGTTTCTCTGCTCAGATCAGTGCCTTTCTGTATCTGCGCTTCCCACCGTGTGCTCTGGCCTCCGGCTGCTGCGTCTGTGTCTCTCTTCCTCATTGCCTCACGCACCAGGAAGCCGTGCTGCCTCTCCCGGGCCTCGAACACCTGTGCCTCTTCTCCTTTTTCACCCTTCCCCACTGCAGCCGCCACTGAGCTCTCCTCTGGCCTGCACACAGGCATCCTGGCCTCTGGCGGCCACGCAGGCTTGGGGCAAGCTTTGATGTGAAGGGAGCCCACAGGGCTGGCCTGCAGCTGGGGGAAAATGTAAGGGAGACGCCGCAGGGTGGGAGGGACACTGTGGACAGATTCCCCAAGAAGGCACAGAGGCCTCCAGGGAGGAGGGGAGGGACAGACCTGGAGCGGCTCCTTAAAACAACAGCTACACTAGAGCACACTCCACAATCAAACACAAAGTGCAGGGTGGCACAAAAAAGAGGAAAAGAAACGCAGAAATTCTGGGAGGCCAGACAGATGCGCAGAGCCATAGGCCCAAAGAGAGACAAAGAGGGACGAGGAAGAGACGAGAGCAAACCGGCACTGCGCAGCACATGTTCTCTCAAAGCCCTTGAGGTTCCTGCCGCTCTCACCCTGGCCCCCAGGGATGGAACAGGAGCGAGGCTGGGGAGAGGGGAGGGCACAGCCCCACCACAGCGACAGTCTGTGGTCCCACAGGCACTTTTATCTTCTCCCCATAGCCTCCAAGCAGCCCACTCAAGCGAGCTGCGGGATGTGCACCCCAGCACGCCCGTCTGCTGCTGACTGGCTTCCTTCGAACTTCCTAGAGACCATGACCCCTCTAAGAACCCTTGTGGTTCGGTGGCTGCAACCTCCACCTCCTCTCCTTTGCCTCAGACGCCCACATGGGGGTGGCTGTGCCCTCCGTCCCTCCCTCCTTCCCCCAAAGATGCAGAACGGAGCTCAACTTTGGAGTCTTGTGAACACCGACCCCCACCCTTTACACCCTCCCAGCACCCAGGTATCTGACCCCTGCCCTCATCAAAGTTATTTCATTCCACATTTATTGGGTGTCGACAGTGTTCAAGGCCCTTGGCCTACCCAACTCCCCTCAGCGCCACCCCGATATTATGGTCAGGGCCTCAGGCTGCTTCAAGACTGCCTGGAACCAGTTGGTGGGGGAATTTTTACTTAGAGGTAGACCTCTTCTATACAAGTGCCCTCACATTGGAAGGGAAAACCATCTCCTGAGTGTCGCCAACACTCCTCAGCGGCCGCTCATCTGCTGTTGAGGGCGGCCATTTTGTATCAGCCTACAGAATCTGACACAGCACAAGAAATTATCTCTCAAGACGTGAAGTAGCAGCCATCGCCCCCATCGGGTCCTACTCTCAGCCTTGCACCCCCAAAAATTGGCCCCACAGGAGCAGGACATTCCGGAATAGCTATCACACTCAGAGTGAAACCTTTGAATTCTCAAGAATGGAGCCTGTCTATTTTGAGGGATCAGACAGTACCCCAGGAGACCTGTCCCCCAGAATAAGTCTATGCAGGGAAAGCGGAGGACACTGGGGGACAGCATGGCTTCAAGGCCACAAGGTCTTCAGAGTTGGGAAAGGACTGAGCATGTGGAGACAGGAGGCTGGCACTGTATGGGGCCTCCCATCGGAGGGACGTTGAGTCCCACGTCTCCCCACACTCCGCCAAGCCCCACAGGGTCTGCAAATCCTCTTCTAACTCGCCTGGCCTTCTGAGACACCTGAAATCAATTCTCTTAGAATCAGTTTCTCTAATGACATATTTACCTAAAAATGTGTATCTGTCACTTTTACAGCATTTCATTGGTAAGAGCTCAGTGTCAACACTTTCTGAGAATCTTAGCTCTCCCTCTTTATTCATCATTTTAAAGATAACTAGAGTAGAAGTGCCTTTGGACATATTGTTCAAAAATCCTAAAAAAGCACAAAAGAAGACAAAAATTTAAAAATACACATAAATGCAAAAGATAGTTAAAAGAAGCTGCATAGATCAAGTGGCTTATGAAATGCTTGTAGGTATGATGCTTGCAATTTTTGCAATTTTGCAAATTTGCAAATGGTTGCAATTTTTGGTGATTGCATTATGAGGAAAATTGATTTTGAGAAATTTGTCTCTAGATGGATCCTACTCTTTTGCTTTTTCTCACTTTTACCTTCTTTCCTCTTTTCATTTTTTAATGGATCTCCTCCCACCTTAATATTTATTTATTCTTGTCCCTCCCTCCCCAGCCTTCTCATGAGAGCAGACACGGTTGGGCCTCTGTCTCACTTTTTCTTATTTTTCCCCCTGTCACCTTCCTTTTTTTTTCTTCCTTTTTCCCCCTTCCCTCCCCCCTTTCACCATTTCCCCTCAAAATAAAAATAAAAAAATTAAAAATATATATTTATTTATTCTTTCTGATGTGTTCCCTCCCTTCCTTCCCTCTTTTTCTCCTCTTTTCCCCCCTTCCAGTCCTCTGTCTTCCACCGCCCCATGACAAGCTGCGTCCCTCTGCCTTTCTCAGCCTGGGGGCCCTCTCCAGTCCCTGTCCCTTTCCGGTCTTGCAATTCAGGTCCAAACTCCTGGGAGGAGCGCCTGCTGTCCCAGGCACCTAGCTGTGCATGGTGGGGAAGCAGAGAGGAGCATGGTGTTGTCCCCGGCCTCTGGAAGCTCACAGCTCCAGCAGGAGATTACTGTTTATGACCGGTTCCAAGAGAAATGCAACAGAAGGCAGCCAGAGCTGTGGGCAGAGAACTGAGAGTCCAGCACATTCCCGCGCATCTGCCACGTTCCCTCCCCTTCCCGGCTCCTGGAAAGGAACGAAGCCGAGTCTGACTGTCTTACCTCCTGTCTGTCTTCCACTCTGCTTCTCCCACAGATGTGCCTATGTGAGGCCTTGGGACTCTGCAACCAGGAGCCCACTGGGGAGAGGGCTTTGCGACTTCTGCAGAGAGGTGCTTAAATGAAGAGAGACAGGAAGCCCGAAGGGAGGCTCCTCCACACCCCAGGCCTGGGCCTGCCCCCAGCGTCACCATGTGGGGCTGGGGTCCCCACCCCCCTGGCTCTCAGGAAAGATGTCAAAGTGAAAATGCCAAAGTTAAGGGAAAAAGTGAAGTAGAACCAGTGACTGCCACTGTTGGGTGGCAGGAAAAAGGAAAGACTGCACCAGTGGTGCCGCCAGATCTGGCTGGGCTGCAGGGAAAGGAGTGGGAGGCAGGTGGGGACGTGAGAGCAGCTGTGGTAAGCTCCCAAACGGCACTGTGCTCCGGGGCTCTGAGGGCATTTGTTCCGTGGGTGCCTCCAGGGCCCCCAGGGCCTAGGAGGACACCTGAGGCACGCGAGGCATCATGAACCAGACTCTGTTCCTCTAGAACCCGGGCCCTGGCCAAGCCTCAGCTGTTTTCTCTAGCCTGTATCTCGCATGAGCTCCAGATGTAGATAACCGTCTGCTCATTGGACATCTCCACTTGGAAGTTCACCAGACATGGCAAACTCAACACGTCCCCGACTGACTTACCATCTTCATATGATGACCCTCCAAAACTACTCTGCAGGTTTCCTACTCGGTGAGGACTTCACCATCCACCAAGTTGCCCAAGACAAGTAAACTAGGTGTAACCTTTGACCCCCCCTGCACCCAACCACTCCCATGTATTCATTTACCAATTCCTGTGGATGTTACCTCTGAATGGCGCCCGGACCTACCGAGGTCACTGCACTGCTGCTACCATTCCAATCCAAGATCCCGACATCATCCTTTGCCTGGACTATGGCTCCTGCCTCCTTGTTGGTCCCCTCTCCATCTGCCTTCCTCTGGGCCGTCCTCCACACCGCAGCTGGGTGATCATTTAAAGAGGCACATGTGAGCTTGCCATTCCCCAGTCTGAAAAGAGTAGCTAGTTCAGCCCCCAACGCCAACAATTAACACAAGTGCTTCTATTTGAGACAATCATTGCACTTCATTTGCAGCCGAAGTGCTGTGTGCTGCTTCTCGTTTCATGACACGCTGTACTCAAACTTGAGATTTAATAAAATTAATATTTACTGCTTCATCAAGGGCATTCTTAAGTGAAACTGGCATTAATTCTTTTCTTTTTTTTTTTTTACTGCAAATACCTGGCAGTGAAGAATGCAAAGACTATAGTGTATTTTGGCGCCACTGCCTTCACTTATGCTCAGGCAGCAGTTTTACCCAGATGGCTCCTGCAACATTATTGCAATGTCAACATAGTTACAAAGGCAAAAAACACCCTGTTGTTTTATGAAAATAGCTTGACCTTGAAGACCCCCTGAAAGGGTCTCAGGGACTCCCAAGGGTCTGCAGGCCACACTTAGCTTCGAGAACCACTGATCTACATAATTTTTGTTCATTCGTCAAGATCTTAGCTATTTCTTTAGTTGTCCTCAAAATCTATTTTCTCCTTATTCTGAGTAATAGAACCCTCAATTTTTTACTGAGCTCATAGCTACCCATATTTAAGATATACTTCCCTGCCTCCCCCGAGTCTGGATGTGTCCAAGTGACTCAATTTAGGCTAATGGTTGTAAGTGTAAGTGTTATGTGCAACCTCTGAGTTGCTACTTAAATGGAGGGTGTGTGCCCTTCACCAACCCTTCTTTTCTTGTGGGCTGGAAAACAAACATCCCGCCTCGTAGGGTCCCAAGCAGGCTCCTGCAGGCACTTGGAGCCCTGCTCTAGTCCAAACCTCTCCATGCACTTATTCATTCATTCATTCATTCATTCATTCATTCATATATTCGACAAGTATTAATTGTCCACCAGCCCACAGCATCCTGCTAGGTGCTAGGGATGTGAGGTTGAGTGAGACAGATATGGTCACGGCTCTAGCTTGTGACACGGACACTAGATTATGAATAATTTCATTGCAACTGGACAAGTGCTACGGAGGGAGATGTGCAGTGCCAGGAGACCTCATCAGAAGGGAGCCTTCTGTTAACGGGAGAAGTGTGTATCAGGAAGCCTGGGGTTGTGCTGCAAGGGAAAGAAAGCCCAAAAAACAGAGGCTTAAGGAAGATGGAAGTTACTGCTCACATGGAAGAAGTCTGATAATCTGTGACGGGGTTAGAGAAGAGAGAGAGAGAGGAAAGAAAGAAAAGAAAGAACGAAAGCAAGCAAGCAAAGCAAGAAAGTCTGGAGGTGGTTGGCTCAGGGATGGGGGAGCACCCCATTGTACCCCAGGATTGGGGCTATCTGTATCTTGTTGCTCTACCATCTGCCAGCGCGTGACTTCCTCCCGATAGTCTGAGAAGGCTACTCAGGTTCCTCAGTTGAAGTAAATTTCCCTCATGATAAGATCTCCCAGTACTCTGCACTTCTTCCTTTGTAGCACTGGTCCAATTGTAATGAAGTTAGTCATTGTCTAGTGTCTAGCTCACAGGCCAGGGCTGTGACCGCGTCTGTCTACTTACCACTGTGCCCCCAGCACCCTAGCAGAGCACTTTGGCTCTCCCTGGTAGACCCTTAATGCTGTTTGAATACTTTTTTAATATGTATTAAATTTTATTGATATTAAATGAATTGTGACAAAATATACGTAACATAAAATTTATCATTTTAACCATGTTTATTTACTTATTTATCTTTAGAGACAAGGTCTTATCACCCAAGCCACAGTACAGTAGTGTGAGCATAGCTCCCTGTAACCTTGAACTCCTGGGCTCAAGCAATCCTCCCGCCTGAGCTTCCAGAGTAGTTGGGTATACAGTTACACACCACCACGCCTGGCTAGTATTTTTGGTTTTTGTAGGGACAGGGTCTCCCTATGTTGCCCAGGCTGGTCTCAAACTCCTGGCCTCAAGCAATTCTGCCTGCCTAGGCCTCTCAGAGTGCTGAGATGAGGGGCCTGAGCCACCGTGTCCCAGCCTAACCATTTTTAAATGTACAGCTCTCTGCGGGATTAAGCATACTCATGTGGTTATGCGACCATCTGAAAGTTTTTCATCTTCCCCTGCTGAAACTCTGTGCTCATGAAACACTCACTCCTTATTCTTCCGTCCCCTAGCCCCTGGCTGCTGAATACTTTTTGAATGAAGAGGTTTAGACTAGAGCAGGAGGACAGGGCCAAGGATTTAGACCGGAGCCTGCCAGGTAACGTGATAGAAAAGCAGGCGGGCAGTGAGCAGGAGTGCGGGGTGGGGCTCAGGCAGGCTAGTGAGTACAGCAGCATCCACTGAGGGTGGCTCCGGCTGAGCTGCCGGTAGAGCTTGTACCAGCATGAGGACCCAGAGTTGCCAGCTGTGCCAAAATTTTGAGAGAAGGTGGAAAACCAGACATTTATGTAATATTTCCTAATTTTAATGTTGGCAATGATTTTGTTTAACATTGGGTAGATCAAACAAAGCGCTCCAAGGGCTGGCTCTACTTTGAGGCCCACCGGTTTGCATCCTATGGACCAGATGGACCATGCGGGGCGCCCAGCTCTCTGGGGCTGTGGCCTGTGACTGCCTGTGGAGATGGGCCCCTGGGAGTCAGCAGCCCCCAGAACCTGGTGCTCCCTCTGGCTTTCCACATAGGAAAATAAAAGGGGAAGAGAGAGTGCACTTTTATAGTGACCCTTTAGAATTGCCATGTGCTCTGTGTGATTGTGTCTTTTATTTAATCCTCACAAGAATGATAGGGCATAGGTGGTATTCTCCAGACCATACAGAGGAGGAAACGGAAGTTCGAAGAGTTTTTAAAAATTGCTAAATGCCGCAGAGCAAGTAACTGTAACTGGGGAAACTGGGATTTGAATTTACCCCCTGGGACCTCATTGCCTGAATTGTCCCCCTCGTGGCACTGCCTGTCCTCTGCATTAGGAAGGGCTATCGATGGGTGGATGGCTCAAGGTCAGGAGTTCGAAACCAGCCTGAGCAAGAGCAAGACCCCGTCTCTACTATAAATAGAAATAAATTAATTGGCCAACTAACATATATATAGAAAAAAATTAGCCAAGCATGGTGGCACATGCCTGTAGTCCCAGCTACTTGGGACGCTGAGGCAGGAGGATTGCTTGAGCCCAGGAGTTTAAGGTTGCTGTGAGCCAGGCTGACACCACGGCACTCACTCTAGCCTGGGAAACAAAGCGAGACTCTGTCTCAAAAAAAAAAAAAAAAAAGGAGGCCATCGAGATGGCTCAGAGGAGTCTTCTCCCACAGCAAGGAGGGGCTGTGCGGCTCAGCACCCCCATGATCCTCACAACCGCAGGATGATTGTGCATTTTCAGAGCACTGGCACATACATTTGCACATGCCAGATCTTTCTGGTAGGCATTTTACAGAAGAAACTGAGATTAAGCCATCTGCCCCATCACATGACTGAAAGCATGGACCACGGGGTTTCCAGAGGTCTGCCGGTTCCTGGTCGAGAGCTATTTTTGCTGCATGAATGCTGGGTCTCCAGGCTGGAGGAGCAGGAGGAGGCCAAACAGGAGGGAGAGGAAGAGTTGGGGCGCAGGGGGAAGCTAGTGTCAGTGCTGGAGGCCAGGTGATTCTAGGGCAGCCAGTGCTGTAGGAGAGTTGAAAGCCCCAGGTGCAAACTTGCGGTGGCCTCCTTACAGAAGCAACTTTGGCTGCACTGACACCCTCTGCCAAGGGGACTGGGGGCAGGGCAGGTGGGGAATTGGGGAGGGGTCTCTGGGGCTGTTCTCTGGGAAGCAGAGTCCAGGAGGGCAGAACCCACCTCTATCCCAGACACATCTCCCCTGGCTCCAGGACCACTTCCTGTCACTCTCAGAGGGTGGTCCCTGGGCTTCCCCACCCCATGAGAGGTTTGAGTCGGCACATTTCAGAGCCAGGCCTGAGCTCAGCCAGCTGACACCTGCAGCCCCTTGGAGAAACTGTCAGCCACAGAGCAGAGCAGCTAGAACCTGTCCCCACAAAACCCCATTCTCTTCAAAGGAAGAACTCCACCTTGGGCTCGGCCTGTGCGGGGAACCCTAAGCTCCTTGCTTGCTTCCTTTGATGGGGGGGGGAGTAGCAGCAGGGGCTCAGGCCTGAACCCCAGCACCTCTGCCTGGTGGGTGAGGGAACTTTCTGGGCTTACACAGGCCCCTGCCCTGCCCTGTGGAGCTG